GGCAACGTCACATGCAGCGGACCAGGAGGCGAGGTTCACGACACCACGAAGAAGCTGGGTTAATGGTGACATGATGGATGCGAAATTGCGAACAAAGCGCCGGAAACAAGAGCATAGGCCTACACAACTGCGAAGTTCCTTCATGGTTGTCAGCTTGGGAAATTCCGCGACTGCTCGAAGTTTTTCTGAGTCAGGTAATATGCAGTGCTTGGACACGATGTGGCCTAGGATTGCGAGCTCACGTGCAGCGAAGCGGAATTTTTGCAGGTTAAGCTGCAGGGCAGCGTTGGTCAGACAAGTCAGAACGTGCCTGAGGCGAAGGAGGTGCGTAGGAAAGTCATGTGAGAAAACCACGACATCGTGGAGGTATCAGAGGCACATATTCCACTTGAGGCCACGTAGCGTATTATCCATTGGTGGTTCAAACGTGGCCGGCGTGTTACAAAGACCAAATTAAGGGCCTGACGTTAAACTCGTATTGTCCGTCAGGTGTAATAAAAGCAGTTTTTTGACGATTGGCTTCAGCCATTGGGACTTGCCAGTAGCCAGACCGCAAATCTAGCGACGAGAAGAATTCAGCTCCGTGAAGGGTGTCAATGGCGTCATGAATGAGCGGCAAATGATAGATGTCATTGCGGGTTATCCTATTCAAACGGCGATAGTCCACGCAAAATCGGATAGATCCGTCTTTCTTACGCACCAAGAGGATGGGAGGCGCCCAGGGACTGTGAGATGGTCGAATGACGTCTCTATGAAACATATCTTCGACTTGATCGTTAATGACACGGCGCTCTTCACCGGAGACACGGTATGGTCTTAGACGCAGTGGCTTGTGTAGGCCTGTGTCAAGATGATGTTTGACTTGTGACGTGCGGCCCAGTTGAGGTTGCGACACATCGAAAGAACTCCTGAACTCGTGCAGAAGATCCAGCAGGTCGGCATGTTTGGTGGGAGTGAGAGTGTCGACGATGGCGCTGGAAAACGAAGAGAGGGTGCGCGCGGCATCAAGAAGTCGGGGTTGTTAGGAGGGGCATAACGAGGTGACGAGACCGGGCCATATTGGGCGAAGGGTTGGCTGCAGGGTTGCGACGATCGGGAATAGTCGCCGAACGTCTGAGGTCGACGGCGGCAGTATCGGGCCACGTGTCCGGGAGTAAAGCAGGCGTAGTATATCAGTCGGTTATCGGGCGTCCTCCAAGGATTGGCGACTGGTGGTGCCGCCCAAGGTGCAGTATAAGCAGCCGGGAGTGCGGGCTGTGAGCGCGTGGTGTAGGGCGGTTGCGGAAGCCTACGCACAGCGTCTTCATATGTGAGCGGTGCTGCTACAGGCTGCATTTCTTGTGAACAGGCGACAGCAGGAGCCACCGGCTGCGCTGCATACGTTAGGGGCGCGGCCACAGGCTGCACGGCTGGCGGATAGGCGACAGGAGCGCCTACCGGCTGCACGACACGCGGGCAGTGAACACGGCTAGATAGAGGCAGCTCGTGGTGTGCAAGGGCAACCTCTTCCGAAATAGCAGTGCGAAGCGTGGCAGGTAGACGGGTGGTGGTCTCGTGAGTAAAGGGCACTAGGGAAAGTTGGCGGGCGACTTCCTCACGGACGAAGGCTCGGACTTGCTGAAGCAACGGTGAATTGTCAGGCATGGTGTCGAAACTGGACAGTGACTCACCAACATGCCAAAGCTGTCGAGTCAGAGTGCGTTGCTTCTTCAACTCGTCGTAGCTCTGACACAAGCTGACGACTTCGGAAACTGTGCTCGGATGCCTAGCCAAGAGCATTTCAAATGCGCCGTCGTAGATGCCCTTCAGGATGTGTTCGACCTTGTCAGATTCGGGCATGGTGTCATTCGCACGTCGGCCAACGTCGACGACGTCCTCAATGTAGCTTGTAAAGCTTTCGCCAGTAAGCTAAGAGCGGACGCGCAAGCGCTGTTCTGCCCGCTGCTTGCGGGCAGCCGGCCGACCCAACACTTCAGCACATGACGTCTTAAAAACGATCCATGTGGAGATGTCGTGTTTATGGTTGTTAAACCGCAATTCGGTGACGCCAGTGAGGTCAAATATTGTCGCGAAGGCAACGTCTCGGGGAGGGCGCGTTGAGGAAGAATGAGAGTCTAAACAGAAAGGGCTGCATCCGGTCGGTCACTGCGCGCTTAGCGCCAAAGAAGGCGCCGCGCCGTGCTTTTGACTGGACTGCAGAAATTAGTTGCCTTTCCCTTTCTTCTAACCCCTGTGCCCTCCACGCTTCAAACGAACTAGCCACCGCTTAAGTCCTCCGGGGCAAAAGGGGACCGAAATTTGAGCATTTGTGCTCAAATTTCGTCAAGGCCGTTTCAGAGAAACAATGTTACACGGCCCTGAGGGAGGAATTTCAGTTCTAATTCCGAATGCAGTTTTTCCTCCACAAACTGCATCACTTAGTTTTGCGTCAAGGCCGTTTCAGAGAATGCGCCCGTTTCCAGAAGCTGCCACAGTTTTGTTGCGAGGCCGGCTTCACGTGACCATGAAAACTCTTGTTGGGCTGGTTATCCTCGGCTTGCCTAATTAGTCCGCGCACCCGTGGATGCTGGAATACCCTATTTAAGCCGCGACTCGGGCGCTTTTTGGGGTGAGCGGACTTGGGGTCAACAGCGCGTCTCGCCACCGGAGACCAGTCATGCAAGCCGAGGGGTATGCCATCATTTTCCATGTTTTGTCTTTGTGACTTAGGGCATTGTGTAAATTTAAATTGTATTAGATAAAGAAACCCCCAATGAGTGCTCCCCGAAATCATCGTGTCGACTTGTCATCGCTTGCCTGTGCGGAATCGCTCCCACACTTCTCCGTCCGGATGGTCATCAGATGTGTCTATAGCTTAAACAACCCGATGTTTCGCTACAATATGACGTGGCCCAGCTTGTCAGCTTCATTCTATTTATTATTGGTGCTCGCCAGTTCGTAGTTCTCGAGCCAGTCTTCGACGTTCGTTCCATCTGCACCGCTGGAGGCCTTCGGGTCCCGTAGCCTAGGATGGCCAGGGCAGTTGAACTGGGGCGAGGTCGCCGATGGAGTGGCGTTGTCAGTCATGATGGGCGGTAGCATGCGGCTTCGCAGCTCCAGGGTGTAGCGACGGGGACGAAAAGCACCCTCCACCAAATGTGAAGAGGTTTATTAGCCGTTAAGGAGAGCGACGAGACAGCGTGAAGAACCATTCAGAGATCGGCACAGCAACGAACCGAAGCACGAGCCGAGACAGCCGGGCGTTGGCGATGCTGCTCAGTGCAGGCACATCTTCATGTAAATATATATATATATATATATATATATATATATATATATATATATATATATATATATATATAAGGGAAAAAATTGTATACCTAAGGGCTCGTTTTGCGTGTTTTGACACAATATTAATGAGATCTAACAGACAATAATTCCAGGGAATGTATAGGTGAAGTTATTAGAACCAATGTAATGTAAATAGGAAAAAAAATGGGTGAAAAAATAACTTGCCATGAGCGGGACTCGTACCTACGACCTTTGAATAACGCGCTCGATGCTATATATACAAGCGGGTGAATGCTGCAGGGATACCTCATTACAATATATGCACAACCTGACATTGCGAACATTAAACCACACAGTATTACGCGTCTGAAGTGTCACTGGCGCCTCTCTAAACAAACTCTAGAAGCAATCCTTACAGCACACGCAGCGGCAAGGTCGTGTTACTGTACAACACATTCCATACGCCAAAAAAGTGGCACTCCGTAACATCGAATAGCCTGCTTTATTTAGCAGCTCCCACAGAGCCAACCAAATGTTCCGTGCGCGAACTAAGCTGATATATTTACATATTGCTACATTTCCAATGAGGAACAATAGGGTGTTGGCGGGCGTTTAGCGTTTGTATGTATGTATGTATGTATGTATGTATGTATGTATGTATGTATGTATGTATGTATGTATGTATGTATGTATGTATGTATGTATGTATGTATGTATGTATGTATGTATGTATGTATGTATGTATGTATGTATGTATGTATGTATGTATGTATGTATGTATGTATGTATGTATGTATCCATTCAATGTATGTATGTTACGAGCGCAAAGTGGTGACGGGGAGACCAATACATCACCGGGATATATGTCGTTGGACGTAATGCTGACAATTTGTTCTTGTAGTGGCGGCAGCTCGATGTCCTTCACAGCGACCAGACGAAGTGGCTTCTGATTGTCGCCATCAAGCATCCCACCCTAAATTAGTTGGTGAGAGCAGCGGGACAGGATAGCAAACTGGGCATGATGGTGGATGACGTCAATGAAAACACGCACAGTACAAAACGCGGAAAGGCGAATGACGTTCCCCTGGGCACCAACAATCATGGGACCATCGTGAGGCGTCAATACCTTCTTTAAATGTTCACACAAATCAGCACGTATAAAAGACAATGTCGCACCTGTGTCCACCAAAGCATCGACTCGCACTCCTTCCACTTCCTCAGAAACAATGTTACACGGCCCTGAGGGAGGAATTTCAGTTCTAATTCCGAATGCAGTTTTTCCTCCACAAACTGCATCACTTAGTTTTCCAAATGAATATCAGAGGAGAGTGAGGCGTGCCGAAGTGGAGAAGTGGAACAGCGGAAGCGTGAAGGTGAGCGGCGTCTCGTGTTTCGGCTGTTCCGCGGTGCACTCGATGCCGGATGAGATGGAGACTGGTGCGGGAAGAACGAATAACACCGACCTTGATAAGAGGCCCCTGTGTACAAATTCCGTTCACGCATGTCGTTCAGACGCTCATCTTGCTGGCGCTTTCGGCAGAAACGAGATATGTGACTGCGATAGCCGCAGTAGTAGCAAGCAGGGCGGGACGAGTGCCAGGGTGGGTAGTAGAAGGCGTTCGGGGCCCCTGGAGATAGCACGGTCAAGTTGGCCGAAGCAGGGTCAGGGGGCGTCGAAGGGTAGTTCACCGGGGGAGCGGCCGCAACCTACGCGTAGGTTGGCAGCAGCAATGTCGCGTGTACGTCACTGGGAGGCACGGCCGCACCTGGAGGGTAGGTGGATATGGGGCGTGAAGCAGCTGGCTGTACGTGTGCAGAGCCGGTCAGAGATGTAAGTTCCTCCCTGACGATGTCACTCAAGGGCACTCTCGAAGACTGTATAGGACGTGGCGTAGGAGGCATGAAGCCCATAGACCCAAATTCTTCGCGTATAATGTCCCGGATGAGGTCACGCAGGTGGCCGTGAGACGTGGAGGGGTGGTCGTCAATGTCCGGTTGGAGACGAACGGAGTCCAGCGCATCAAGGCGCTGGCATGTCGTCACGACCTCAGCGATGGTAGCTGGGTTTTGCACAGCGAGGGCATAAAGGCAACAGGCTGAATGCTCTTCAATATGTGGCGCACTTTGTCCGATTTCGGCATGGATTGTATGACACGCCGGCACAGTGCGAGGACATCCTCGATGTATGAAGTGAACGATTCACCGGGATGTTGTTGGCGAGTATCGAGTGTCCTCTTCGCGACGGCTGATCGAATGTCTGGTGTCCCAAAAACGTGTCGCAGCTGCTGCTGGAAGGTAGCCCAGTCGGGTAAGTCAATGACGTGGTTAAAATACCATGTCTTCGCGACTCCGGTCAGATAAAGAAGGATGTAACGAAGTTTGGTGGCCTCATCCCACCGATTAGCGACACTTACGCGGTCGTAGCTATCGAGCCAGTCTTCTACGTCTTCTTCACAAAGACCAGCAAAGAGCGAGAGTTCCCGCTGATGTCCGTGTTTGTAAATAGGAGGGGCAGCTCTTGGCGCTGCGTGGTTGATGACATCAGCGCCAGCAGGCTCGGTTTGGGACATGCTGTCTGACTGTGGGCGCAAGCGGCGGCCTGAACGAAGCTCCAGGGGGTAGAGCGGGCTGCGGGAGGTCAGGGGACCGAAAATCCGCCTCCACCAAGTATGAGGTCTTGGTAGTCTTGATTGCGACATCGTTAGTTTGAGGAAAAACCTCGCAAAACGAACGGGCACAGCCAGTACACAGATGATGACGATGATGATGGCACAGAGTGGCCATGAGGAAGAGCCAAGGTGATAATGGTGATTATGATCATGCAGGGATGAGAACGATGTTACAAACGCCAACAGTATGTATGTATGTATGTATGTATGTATGTATGTATGTATGTATGTATGTATGTATGTATGTATGTATGTATGTATGTATGTATGTATGTATGTATGTATGTATGTATGTATGTATGTATGTACGTACGTACGTACGTACGTACGTATGTATGTATGTATGTATGTATGTATGTATGTATGTATGTATGTATGTATGTATGTATGTATGTATGTATGTATGCAACCGTCCTTTTGCTGTATTGCTGATAACACGTGTTTTTAAGTAATATTTGTTACTTGTGTTAAGCTGTAATCCGTGTACGCCCCCCCCGCTCTTTCAACACTACAGCAGTAAAGGGATCGTTTCACAGAAATTCCAGTGGCAGCACAGGCACTGGTGTCGTTGGTTGTGAGCGGAAAATCAGCGTAGTGTGTGAGCGAAAACTTGAAATAATTGTAGATAAATAAATGACTAATAACAATATATTCGCATTGAGTGAGAACCAAAGCCAGGCCTTCTATGTGGCAAGCAGGTTTTCTACCATACGGAGTTACACCAGTGTTTAATATTGCGTGATGAAAATAGGTGAGAGTCTCCTTGAGGCATGTGACAATGCGTGGGAGAATTGTTGAATAACACCAAGTGATAAAATGTGTATGTTGTTCTGAAGCCACCCACCTATCACAAACTCTGCAGCTGCGCAAGTGCTCGTAATATCACAGAGTAGCGTACTGCACGGGTACTTCGCCAATTTGCAAAAAAAAATAATTATGGCAAAGTTGGCACTTCGTAAACGTGCATACATTGAATAGGCATTATAGGATTGTTTGAATAGGCCATTGTTACTGGCATAAACGTTATTTCTCTTGTGCTATGGCTGGAGACAATGCGAATGGTGCCCGATTACACTAAACTAATAAATGAATAAATACACTTATTTCTGTACGCGTCGAGTGCTCTGTGCATCTGTCTATGTAGTTAAAGGAACAACAGAGTGAGTGAGGCACACGCTTTATACGTCGGGAATTCGGGTTATTTTTTTTCTCACTGCAAAGCGTGACAGTTTTTGTTTGCAATATTCTTTGAATGCTACGTCGCAGGTATGAAACAATAGCATCGTCGCTAAGTTATCTGACCTTTGTACTAGCCAAGTACCCGGATGTCCAGGAAAAGGTGCGTCAAGAGGTCGTCGACACTATTTCTGAGCAGGTAAGCGCAAACAACCCCAGCGGTCGCCATTTTAGCTGCCATTGTGGCACTCGCGTGTGTCTTTGCATCTCTTTCTCTACTTCGTGGCATTCTTTCGTTTCGCCTATTGCTCGGCTGCAACCTAAAGATATATGTAAGAATAGGTAAGTGCAACCTGACGAGTGCGGCTGGCTGAGAAGGGGGTAACAATAAGCGACTTAAAGTACGGACTACGTAAGTAACGGAGAAAAACACAAAGACACTTGAAAATGGCAATGTTGATTAGTGAAGTTTTATGGGGCAAGGGCCATGGGTAGCGAAAGAGTGCCATGTTTCTTATGCGATGTGAGCGATCGCCGATGATTCCTATGACAGGGTGTATTGTGGTTGTATACAGGCCTAACACCACGCGCGATATAAAAGCGTAAAATGTGTGTATTGAATGCAGAGTCATGACTACGATGCGTGATGTTACCAAAGGGGGTGTAATATACGAATAAATGGGGAGCGCTTGTGTCAGTGTAAGTCGTCTTCCTTCTGCCTCCCTTGTTTATTACGCGCTACTGATTTAAGCTTTTGCTGATGTTTCTGACGAGCTTATATCTCTCCGACTTAAAAGCTAATGCAATCTAACTCTCCGAACAGCTCATCTCGCTCCGACACTGTCCATGAAAATTCTATTTTTAATCCACCACGTCGACCCCGCTCCCCACAAATCTGCGCCTAAATGTACCGGAGGGTCCACTGCTAAAAGGAACACCTGCATAAGCAGTGTGTTTTGGTTTCGCTATCTTACGAAAGCATAGTGGCTAAAATAAGCATACTGTAAAGAAGAGGAAGTACTCCGGCGCAGAGGCAGCAGCATTGAGTGTGCAGCAGCGGCAGCAGCATCGAGTGTGCAGCAGCGGCTCGAGCTCGGAAATTGCGGCTGGTGCATCGCCTTCCAAGCCTTCCAAGCACCAACCTTTCTGCTTAATAAATCTCCTTTATAATTGGTGGAGGTGCTGGGTAGCGTCCCTTACACCTTCCCGCTACCATCCTGGAACTCCGTTCTCGACGGCTACCTTCTGCTATGCCGGACGCCGATCAGCAGACGCTTCCATCTCTTCCGGCCACCTGTCCAGGCAGTGTTCCTCAGCGGGAGCCTCCAATCTTCACTGGAACAGATGACAACGACGTTGAAGAGTGGCTCTCGACTTTCGAACGGGTGAGCGCTTTAAACAGATGGACGGACGCGGACAAGTTGACACGCGTTTCGTTCTATCTCTCGGGTGTAGCCAGCCTTTGGCTTAGAAACCACCAGGCAGACGTCCGAACGTGGCCGCAATTTAAAACGTCGATTGTAGCAGTCTTCGATCGACCTGCCGTCCGAAAACTTCGTGCCGAGCAACGTTTACGCACACGCGCACAAGAAACGGGTGAAACCTTTACAAGTTACATAGAGGACGTCGTCGATTTGTGCAGACGCGTGAACGCCGAAATGACGGAAGCTGAAAAATGTAAGCACATCCTCAAAGGGATTGACGACGACGCTTTTCAAATGCTCTTGGCGAAAAGCCCGACCACTGTTAACGACGTAATTAGCCTCTGCCAAAGCTACGATGAATTGCGGAAGCAGCGAGCGCTGACAAGACGTCCTCCAGCGCACGATTTGGCATCGCTGTCTAGTGCGATCAGTGGTCATGACCACGCGTCACTAATGGCCGAAATAAAAGCATTTGTCCGCGAAGAAGTTGCACGACAGCTTTCTTTGGTGCCTTTCACACCAGAAGCTACCACAACTTTACCATCGTCTCTACGTGACGTCATTCAAGGAGAGGTCGCCGAGGCCTTACCAGCTGCTCGCGAGCCTAATCTTGTGGCTGCTCCTCTCACCTACGCCGCGGCTGCAGCCATGCCAACTCGCAAGGCGCCTGCGCCTCCGTTCCAGCCTCGCGCAAGCTATCCCCCAGCTCCAGTTCACTGGACCAGCACTAACACCGCCAACCCGTGGCGCACCCTCGATAATCGCCCGATATGTTACACTTGTCGATACCCCGGACACGTCGCAAGGTATTGCCGCCGCCGGACGCATATCACCAATGAAAACCACCGTGAGCCTTTCTTCCCGCTTGACTCCAACGCGCGATACGGTTCCTCCACTCCAATGCCAGCCCGCTACCAGGACGACCACCGCCCTTGGCCGGGACGTCTTCGCTCACCCTCTCCACGCCGCCGCTCTCCTTCTCCTATGCGTCGACGGCCCGCACCTAACGAGGAGGAAAACTAGACGACGCAGTTCCTGAGGCAAGAACTGCGCAAGTTTCGGTTTGCCCAAGTCCTCATTTGTCACCTACCAATGTTATTGATGTGTTCGTCGAAAGTATCCCTACTGTCGGACTTGTAGATACCGGTGCAGCTGTTTCGGTAATAGATGCTGGATTTTGCCGCTCAATTCGTAAGGTTACGACGCCTTTCTCCGGATTATCGCTTCGCACAGCCAGTGCTCAACCTGTTCAACCGACCGCAGCATGTACAGCCCACGTGACAATTCAGGACGTTCTGTATACGATAGAGTTCGTTGTTCTTTCATCATGCTCCCATAATATTATTTTGGGATGGGACTTTTTGTCGCGTCATAACGCCGTAATCGACTGTGCTAGGGCTGAGGTCGAATTTTGCTCACACGCAGAAGAATGCCGCCAGTTAGCTCGTCGCTTTACCTGCGATGACCAAAACAGGCAAAAGGCAATTCGTGATGCCCAGACCTCAACTCCCGTTTTTCTTCCGGGTTCTCTTGTTTGGCTGTCACTGCCGCATCACACACCTGGGCTCTCTTCCAAACTTCTGCCAAAGTACGATGGGCCATATCGTATTGTCGAACAAACTTCGCCAGTAAACTACCTCATTGAGCCTCTTACGCCACCATCAGACTTGCGACGTCGCAAACGCGAGGTTGTACACGTACAGAGGCTCAAGCAATACCACGGTTCAACGCCGCCTGCACAGGACTAAGTCGCCAGGATGGCTCCTTTTTTTCTCCGTGGGGCCATTGTAAAGAAGAGGAAGTACTCCGGCGCAGAGGCAGCAGCATCGAGTGTGCAGCAGCGGCAGCAGCATCGAGTGTGCAGCAGCGGCTCGAGCTCGGAAATTGCGGCTGGTGCATCGCCTTCCAAGCCTTCCGAGCACCAACCTTTCTGCTTAATAAATCTCCTTTATAATACTATTACTGGTGGTTGGAAGTTCTGACTTGTCTTGGCAAACTATGAGCTGCATGAAGATTGTTTCCGTATCTACTTGCCCTCAGAGGGCCAGGAATATTGATGAGGTGCATTCGAGTGTTCCCTTTAATAGTGAACCTTACTGTACGTTATTGAATTGGAAACCAGTTAATTACACACGTAAGGTTGTAGCTGTATGGGAATGCAAAAAACGTGAATTGTTTCAACTTACAGCAAGACACTTGCGCTGCAATTTTATCGCAAATAACAAATAATTTATTTATAGTCGACCACCTCACCTTTCCAGACACCTAGGCGACAACTTCAAAGCTCGCTCATCTGTTGCACACGGATACTCCAATCGACTCACCATATAGGCTGCAGCAACTGTTTTTTATAATATCCTAAGAAGCCTCTCAGTGAGAACGTGGGATAGTCTTTTACACCGAAGCTGAGCGCTATTCGCGGTCGAAGACAGAACGCACCGCGGACAACATACATGACAGGCGCAGATATGGGAAGTGCTGCGAAACCAGATGCTCGCGCCTGCAACACAGTATTAGCTGAGCGGCTCAGCGGTACGGCGGGCCCAGCGAACGAGTGGGCTGGCATGGCCAGCGTATTTACGGATCGAGCCACTCGCCCGCTCATTTGGTCCTCTCAGCGGCTCACGTGCAGCGGACCAGCGTGCGAGCTTTCTCCAAGCAAAGCTTCTGCTCAATCGACCGTAGTTTCAACCTCGTCAAGAGGTGTGTAGAGTTACTGTATAACATATATACAGAGTCTCTACGCCGCCGTACTCCGCTGAAATAATCACTGAGCTCTTAATTTTTCCTTCGTCTTGTGCGCCGCGGCCTCCTCGGCTCCTTCGCTGGGTCCGCTTGCCCAATGAGCCGTCTAGATATTACTCAGTATCAGTGAGGGGATAATCAGGGTTAACAGTGGAAGTGCCTCAGACTGGCTGACCGACGTTTCGATAGGAGGACCTATTTTTTTCAAAGGCGCTGTGTCATCCTTGGCGTATTAGCTTTAAAGGGGTTAGTGGTGACGCCAACTCCTGGTGATGGCGCGTGTCTTTGTGACCACTATTCATATTAACCCCTGTGATCACTGACCCCTTCAAAACTAACACGCCAAGGATGACATGGCGCCTTTCAAAATGATAGGTCCTACTACCGATACGTGGGCCAGCATGTCTGAGGCACTTCCACTGTTAACAATGATTACCCACTGCGTTGTTTCCATTTGTCTGATCCAATCTAGATTTTGTATTTCAATATCAGTGAGTAATAGCTATTACTCGCTATTATAATACATAACTATTACTCGCTATTTGTGAGTAATACGGCACTTGCTCAATAGTGAATAATAATGAGTAATAATTAGTATGCTCGCTATTAGTGAGTAATAGCTGAGCGGCTCAGCGGTCCGGCTGACCCAGCAGAGGGGCCGGTTTAGCGCAGGACAAAATAAAGGATAAGAAATTGTCCCGAATCTACATGTTACACTGTAAATGTCGTCGAAAGACGATAGTCTTTCGTCTGGAGAGAGTGAACAAAACGTTTATTTGATGTTCTGCGCAAGAAAATCGGTGAATGGTAGTCTGCAGGCTATTCTGCAGGTATTCTGCAGGAAGGGTTAGAGTGCCTCGAGCGTGTGGCGGAGGCGAACGAGCGCATCTAGGCACGTTAGACACAGGTGCCATCTGGCACTTATCTTTGAAAACGAAGGTGTGCAGCCCGCGGAGAAAGATGCACGCCAGTCTTGGAGGTGATAAGGTGTAGAACGCAAAGCGACGGGCAGGTGCCACAACCGTGACGTCGTAGCGAAGCGTTGGAAGCACCTTTAAATGCGGAGCATCTAATACTCGAGGCTTGTAGTGCGGCGCCGTCCGCAAGCTTCCTCCTCCTTCTTCCACCATCTGTGCATCCCTTCCTCCTCTACACACCGCGCGCGCTTCACTCCTCCACCATCTGTGCACCCTTCCTCCTCTACACACCGCGTGCGCTTCTCTTCTTCACGAACATTCGCTAGCTCTTTAATGTAGCGCGCATGCGCCGTCACGCTTCGAGAACATCGGCAGCTGACGCGCGCGCATGCGCCGTTGCGCTTCTCCCCCTTCTCGAACATTCGACAGCTGACAGTGCATGCACCGTCGCGCTGTATATATACTCAAGGTCGGCGCTCGCTCGCTCAGTTGCCGCTCGTCGGTTGGCTTGTACGGCGCGTCGACGTCCAAGGTCGCGGTGAAATGAATTCCTAGCGAATCCACAAACACAATGATCGACGTCCCTTCGACCAGCGCCGCCCTTTCGCATACGTGTGTACGTGTTCACTCATTTAACACCCCCTCCTACAACCACGTTAACCAATTTAGCCATCGACCCAAGTAAGTCGCAATTCAACACCCCATTTCACAACCACGTTAACCAATTTAGCCATCGACCCAAGTAAGTCGCACTTTAACACCCCGTTAACCAATTATATGCTCCGCATCCTCCTCAGTGTTCCCCCGAGGGAAGCTGCGGGCAATTTTTTTGAGCATCGTGTTGCACTGTCAGCGCAGCGCACTCAAACGCTACATTCTTGTGTGTGCCTCTACCAGTATAAAGGGAGACATAAAAAACATCGAAGCGCTGCTGTGGCAGCTCAGATATGCGCGATAATTGCTTTTTAATTGACAATAGCACAACTATGAACGCCTAAACCTTGAGCAATATTGGTGGGCGCTGTGGATGGGCTTGGCCGTTTGATGCCGTTTGAGGTATCGTTAGGGCGGACAAACAGACAAATATACAGAGAGACAGACTAAGACTTTTCCATCGAAGGTCTCAAGAAAGACTGTCGTCTTTAATTAACATATACACCGTATCCCCCTAAAAGGAACCATGTATAGATGCGAAGCAGCGAGTGCTAATGCTTACATTGGTGGTGGCATTGACACTGGCGCTCACCGCGGCATTGCGCATGTGAGAAACCTGGGGAGGCGCCAAGCACGCAGGGATGTACCGGTGTTTCCTACTAAAAGATGTCATTCGCTGCTAATGGTCAGTGAGAAACAGAAGTCTCCGATCGGACACAGAGACCCGCAGTCAGATTTTAGTTACCGCGCACAGTGCTAATTTTTATTGTTCAACAATTCACAGTAAAAATTCCGCACTGGCATTATCTTGTAGCTAAAAATCAAGGGCCTATATATAGGGTGCGGCCAGTGAACTGTTGTGCAGCGTGATCAGTCGGTTTTTGCAATGAAGAAACTCGCTTGCAGACGCTGCCTGCATCGGCGTTGGGAGGCAAAAGAGGGAAGCGTTGGACCTCCATCAATAGCAAAAATCTTGGGCCCATGGCCAAAAGGAAACTACACGCCACTGCTGCGCGTGCAGAAGCGTTTTCTGGACGAATCAGAGATATCCAAAAAGTACCAAACCAAAAAAGAAAACGTACAAGCGTTATTTTTACCGGTATGTTTCACAATATTCTTGTGTTTCACTACAATATCTTTGTGAAAACTTTTGTGAAAACAGTCCAATATTTAAGAGACATGATCACCTTTGTGAACTTTCATGTCTCATGTGGACATTTCAATTTACGTGATTACTTGTGTATTGACAGACTATGTGTGGTGTGGACACATTTCTGTGTAATGTGAACACATTTCTGTACTGAAAAACTTAGGCGCAGTGCGTAAGTGATCTGCTATGTATCTATGTATAGCCTTGTGTTTGTTACCTAATTTGCTTTGTCAAGTTTTGTGCAACAGAAGAGCAGTAGCAGGTGCGATGCACTGGCACCAACCTCTCCTTAAATATATTTAGTTTTTTAAAAAAGGAGAGGGAGTGCGTTTGCACATTGTAGTTGTGAACGCGTGGGGGATGAGGATGCATGAGGAGAGAGAGGGGGAGCTATCGTAGACGAGTGACGCTGGCAGACTCGGCGTTGCGAGGTGAGAAAGGGGAGCGTAGGAGAGGATAGAGAGAGGGAGGAGACGTGCATGCGCAGTGAGCGTGGGCACACCGCACACCAGGTTGTGTCCAATGTCCTTACCACCCCAAACAGTTAGATGCTTGGCATCTATAACTCTGTTTGAGGTGATAAGGGCATTGAAGCTATTTCTTACTGATAACACATCTGCAACAAGAACTCTTCTTTGCCGGCCTTATGTTTGAAACGGAGTACGCGTTGTGGAGATAGGTTTGCACTAGGCTTGCCTACTAAGCGCAACCATGTAGGGATGCGACGTCCTCCACTGCCGCTGCCTGCGAAGACTTTGCGGCCGGGTTCGTTGTTTTTTCCGGCGCGGCGCAGAAACCATGCACGAGGCAGGATAACAACAACAACGGGTTTATTAACCCAAGATGCAGCACAGTGCGACACTCACGGGCTTGCAGGCCGTATAGGGAACTCCGCAATACCGAGCAAGTACGCTTGCCTAGGGCACGACGACTCCCGCACAAGGGCCGAAGTCGACCGCACGAACGAGAAGCTGCCTGCTTAGCAGCGCGTCAACCCCTCTTGAAGGCCTGAGAGCATCTGCCGCGACGAGTGAATCGTCGGGCGCAACACAGCTCGTAGGAGAGGAGGATGTCACGCGCGCTCAAAGGGAACTGGGGCTGCGTTGTGACGTAGGCCCGCGCAGCGTGCCAGCGTAGCGTGCCCAGACATACCAGTGCGGGAAGGAGCCGACGGTTGACTGGCCCAGACCAAGAGGCGCCCTGGCAGCCATCTTGGCGGATGCCGGCGCTTATGCGCGCCCGGGATACGCTGTCGGCGCGTGCGCGGCAGCTGGGGAATGAGGCGCCAGGTAGAAGGGCGCTCTCGATTCCCACATCCCTCCTCCTAGACCAAGGCCACCCTAAAGACGCCGTAATAAAAGCATCCACCGACACCGAAAAAACTGAGGTCCAGCTCAGTGCCGTCCACGAGATCGACGGGGTTCCCGGTGTCTTCGTTCGCCGGCGTCTCATCAGGAACCTGGGGCCGCGGGAGGGTGGCAGACACCGCAGCCGCGATGGCCGCCTTGAATGAAGAGTCCGTGACGAGCACCACCACGACCGCCTGAACGGAGTCGGTCGACAGGGCCGGTGGAAAGCCCGGGCCACGTGGCACCGCCGTAGTGGACAGGACCGCAGGGTAACCGCCGTCTTCACTTGGTGAACCCGCGAACAGAGGTGGGTAGCCTCTTGCACCAGCAGGACACCGCAAACGTCACAGTAGGAGGCCTCAGAAACAGGTGGCATCGAGTCACCTCCGGAAGCATCGAGCACGCCCAAAAGGAATGCGTCCGCTGAAAGGACGCGGGACGGACTTGGTGTCTAACCCTCACCCAGACTTTGCGTTGCTTGGACCAGCGACGAGTCAACACGAAGGCGACTGGGGCCTCAGTGCCTTGTTGGAACGTCAACGTAGCGACTTCATGACGAGGCGGTGTCTTGTTAGCCGGGGCCGGGGAGCATTCGACGGAGGCGGCATGGACGAGGCCGGTGCCTGCGGAACGACCGAGCGTGCGGCTGGTCTCCCGGGCTTTTTCTTGGAAGAACGGGTCGTCGAGGAGGACATAACGAAAGCTGGGGTGTCGGTGAAGAGCAGAAACGCAACTGAAGGTGCGGCCCCAGAGGCGCGACAGGCTGGCCCAATAAAGAGAGCCTACTCCGTCGGATTGAAGGTTGCGTGAGCCAATAGGGCGCACGCTTCTCTTCTCCCTCCGACTGTGCGGAAGGTACCCAGTGAGAAAGTGAGCCACCTGGGAAAG